GCCCATAGACATCTACAACGTAAATGCGGCACCCACCTTGAGATACAAGTTCTAAGGTCTCAGTATAGTTACAACGGCTGCCCCACCCTTCAAACCGAAACGCATTACTGCTTCACGGCAGAAATAGGCAGGGTGGTAGTACCTACTCATGCGGACTCATAAGAGGTCCTACCACCAGTAATACACCAGCTATATTTAGAGATTTTAATGCATGAATCAAATTATAAATACATTTCTGTGTTAATCTGTATCATAGACATCTGCCATAGATTATTTAATTATGTAACGTTTTCGTTTGACAGCTGATAAAAAATGATACGCGACTTAAAATTGTTGTTTTTGTAATGAAAGAGCATTCGCAAGCTTTAAATTGGTTAGGTTTTTTACTGTTATTTACATTCGCATTAGATTCTTCGACGCGTGGTATCAACGGCTAGACTCGATTACGCCCAGTTTTATGTCTCTCGCGAAAGTTCTCGTAATATATCGATGTTGTTTAAGTGTCTTATCTATGGATGTGGTCCTTCACTCTCTATTCCTTAGCCTGTTGACAGTATTTCTACTAGGCGTTGATTAAGTTACAGAGATTATTGTCTCTCGATACCGTTGCTGGAAGCGAAAATATCTTGGTACCAATTTAATAATAGATTTTTTTTTTTTGCGCCTCTTGCCCCTTTACTATAAGCCAGGGCCGGTTTGTGGCAGTGTTGTTGGCTGTCAAACGCATCGGCACAAGAATTTTAAGTAATCTGCCCAAAGTATTTAGTAAAAAAAAGAGACTAGATGTGAAGTATATTTTTAGCCACATAACTTCGTATGGGTGTAAAAGAACCGCTCTCAATGTTAATGAAATATTATATTACTTTAAAATTATTGTAAGTACTAGAGAGGACGGTGTCACCTCAAATGTAACCACGTATGCAGTACCTACGCGTAATGTTTCAAAGTTGCACCCAATGCAAAAAAATTAAGCACTATAGCTTTGACACAGAACCACAATTTCGGTAGGCATCGGCTTGGTTCTGCCCCTGGCATTGCTGAAGTCCATGGGCGACGATAACCACTCACCATCAGGTGGGCCGTATGCCCACAAGGGCAATAAAAAAAACAGTTTTGTTTTATTTTATGCATAAATCTGTTAGTGGTATTTCTAGTCTTTTTTTTCCCTACCTATTCGATAGTAGCCTATGAGGCTAATCCAGCTACGATTGGACGGGTAGGTGAGCTCATGGGCTCAACCTGAGAGAATTTGCTAACACTAGCCCTAGCAAGAGCAGTGCTTCACAAAATCTACCATAGGATCGGAATTGCTACCTACTGAGAAGATCCGGCGAGAAACTCAGTGGAGCTTTTTAGTCCATTTTTTTATTGTTTTCAGTGGAATTCGATGATTCTTCCACGACATACGACAAGTCAAAACCATAACTAAAATAAACTTCACTGGTGGTAGGACCTCTTGTGAGTCCGCACGGGTAGGTACGATGACCCTGCCTATTTCTGCCGTAAAGGAGTAATGCGTTTCGGTTTGAAGGGTGGGGCAGCCGTTGTAACCTTTTAAGCCTTCTCTGAACTTCCACAAATAATTCAAGACCAAAATTAACTAAATCGGTCGAGCCGTTCTCGAGTTTTAGCGAGACTTTTTTACTGATGGTAGGACCCCTTGTGAGTCCGCGCCGGCGGTGGTACCTACCTGGTACCACCGCCCTGCCTATTTCTGCCGTGAAGCAGTAATGCGTTTCGGTTTGAAGGGTGGGGCAGCCGTTGTAACTATACTGAGATCTTAGAACTAATATCTCAAGGTGGGTGGCGCATTTACGTCGTAGTTGTCCATGGGCTCCAGTAACCACTTAACACCAGGTGGGCTGTGAGCTCGTCTACTAATCTAAGCAATAACAAATAACGATTCGTACAATATAAATTAATATATGTATATGGTAGGTGTGTTTTTTTGTATTTCAAGTTTGTTATTTATTATTTACTAGCTGACCCGGCAGACTTCGTAGTGCCTCAATCGATAAATAAAATACCTAAACTTTTGTATAAAATAAACTTAAAACAAACAAAAGGAATCCGTCCGACGGTGAATTTTTTTAAAATTCCGAGCTTTTTCATATTTATCTACCTTTTAAGCCTTCTCTGAACTTCCACAAATAATTCAAGACCAAAATCAACTAAATCGGTACAGCCGTTCTCGGGTTTTAGCGAGACTAACGAACGGCAATTTATTTATATATATTATATACAGACTAGAAGGACACTTAAAAGATAATTTCAAAGAGGATATATCGTTGGGTTATACAAGCACGATTATTTCACGGTTACGTAATAAAATATTATGCACGATCGGACATATTATTGCAATATAAACACACATTAGTTGCACAACTGACGTACTCTAAGAAAGGCAATAGCAAAAAACGATTTGTTCTACATAGCTAGAGATCTCCGGACGCAGGGTTGACAATAACGTTATTTAATATATTTTAAATTAATTTGCAATCAAATTATTTGCGGCAATGTTTTGGAAATATTTCAGAATGCCTCAAAATAATGTTTTTATTTATTATTCTAGATTTAGACAGGCAAGTTCACGACCCATTCAGGTGTTTAGTGGTCAGTGTGCTTCGCGATATAATTAGGAGGATTACACCAGAAATAGCCACAAAATTACGCCAGTGAATATATTGTTCAATTTTATTATTCGACTTTATTCAATATCGTCTATTCATGATACCCCGGTAGATACGTATTTACTCTTAATAATTAGTGCCTGCCTCTTGCAAGCCATCTTATCCATTACGTCAGGACTGATTCGAAAATTCATATCTTTTTTTTATTTTATTATTATTTATTTATTTGCGAAAATAAGAGTACATTACAGCCACTTAGTATTTGAAAGATAAGTAAGCAAAAACTCAAACAAGTTTCCAGAAATAATAGCACGACACACGAGTAGTATAGATAGTAAATAAAGACAGCTGAAATTGACTACTAAATATTTTCAACAACAAAAAAATTTTAAGAAAATAAACCAAAAAAAAAATACAGCTAATACAAGGAGCTAAATTACGTCTCTGAAATACCTAAATCAGCTTCATAGCTGATCACGTAGAATTTACGAGAATTAAAGAAATGTGAATTTGTCTGCTAACGAAATTTGTCTATAGGTTCAAGTAGTTAACATGAATTCTCCACTTCGATAAAGCGGCACGACACGAGAACCCTCTCATCGTGGCCGCCGGTAACTACATTATCGATCCTGAAAATCAAATGGTAAACAGTCGGCGTCGCCCTAAACACGTCATTACGGATCCTCCCGATCCATCGGCACTTTTAGGTACCTCAAACACCGGTCGCCGTCCTCGCCGAACCCCGTCGCTTACGACGAAGACCTCGACTAGTAAATTAACCCATAGACATAGCCCACTGAGCTTCTCGCCGGATCCGGTGGTAGATTCTGCGAAGCACTGCTCTTGCTAGGGTTAGTGTTAACAACACTTCCAGCTTGGGCCCCGTGAGCTTACCTACACGTCAAGGCGAAGCTGAAATAGCCTCTTCACGACTATCAGCATGGGTAGGAAAAGCTTTGCTTGTCGGTAAAGAAAAAGGCTCGAACAAATAAGCAGATAATTAAACTTTTAGGTTAGGTAACATGTACTTTTAGGTTAGGAATATTGTGTTCTTTTTTTTATAATAAATACATACATAATCATACTCTTATAATACATATTTTTTTAAACAAAAAATAAAACAAAAACAAAAAAATTAACTCTTACATCAATTGGTATGAATAAAGAAATAATTAGATTAGACACACCTCAGCCCTACAAAAGAGTAGGTAGGTACGCGTGCGTAATTATTGCTCCCGTGTTAATTGCACCAATAAAACGCTTTCTTGTTGCGTAACAGTCGCTATTTCCGATTCTTATTACCAATTACTCGCCGTGAGTCTTATAACTTACGTACGGGCTGTATGGATGCCACGCTATATCTTAGTTGTTCTTAGTTATTGATTGACTAGCTTTTGGCCGTGACTTCGTCCGCGTGGTATAGTTACTTTGGCATAACGCTAAATTTTACCCCTCTTCATTTTACGTAGAAAGGGAAAATATTTTGGAATAACTGTATGATAAGAAGTTAAGAATTATATAAAATAATTAAAATGAAATCGTAAACTTCATTCTTTTTTTTATATTTAAGGGATTTTATGACCTGGTAACTAAGACCTTTAGGTCAAGTCTTATTTTAATTTTAATGATAAGTTACGTTCAGCAACTTTGTTTCATTTTCCCACATTTGTGCACTTTCACAGATATTAAGCGGTTAATAAACCACCGTTATTACACATTTAAACCTGAAGAAACACTAAATAAACAAAATAAAACAAAATCACACAACTTCACTCCTCGCGTTCCCGCCAAAAAGTCCCCCTTTTTTTTTAAATGTATTCACAACCACAGATTCGCGTATGGAAAAACCGACCAAATTTATTTGTATTTAGATTTAGTAATTTTTTTCCTCTCTAAGAACCTGTCATTTTTGTAAATACTTTGACATTGACAAAATCAATGCATAAGGCGTCGGAGCCAAATTCTTTATAAAAAAAAAAAAAAATTATTCACATATTTTCGACAACCCTGCAATTGATCAATGAAAGAGCGAACGTAGACAATTAGCGTACACGTAATTGTGAGTATTTGTAACAGTTTCAAATAACAGGTATGAACCGAACTCTGATATGTAAAGTTAATGACTGTGTGATTATATTGCAATTTTCTTTAACTATACTGAGACCTTAGAACTTATATCTCAAGGTGGGTGGCGGGATTTACGTTGTAGATGTCTATGGGCTCCGGTAACCACTTAACACCAGGTGGGCTATGAGCTCGTCCACCCACCTATGCAATAAATAAAAAGTTTAAATAAAAATGATCATTTTGCTCTTGTGATAGTTTCAGACGCCTTCACAAGATGCCGCTAAAGTCGAATGGGGTTGGGAAATGTCGACAGTCGCCGAGGACTCCTCTACTACGGGACATTACTACGTAAAACTGCCTCAGGTAAGAAACTCTTATACTCCGAAGATGTACGTCAAGATTATCAAACTTAATGATTTGAAATTTTCATAATCTATAAGGCATATCGGTTCAGAACTTGGAGACTAAATGAGGCCGTCAGAGCAAAAGTGGCCTAGTCCAAACATTTTCATATTCATGCTTATGTATTGCAATTTATTTAAAACATAATAAATTTGGTGCAAAACCATCATATCCCTAGTTTCAGCCCACTGAGTTTCTCGCCGGATCTTCTCAGTGGGTCGCGTTTCCGATCCGGTGGTAGATTCTGCGTAGCACTGCTCTTGCTGGGGTTCGTGTTAGCAACGTCGTCAGTTTTGAGCCCCGTGAGCTCACCTACTAGTTAAGGTTACGCTGAAATAGCCTCTCAAGGCTCTCAGCTTAGGTAGGAAAAAAAAAACCTAGTTTCACCCATAGATAACAGATGGCTTAGTAAATATCATTTTTGCACGAATTATTTTTTCCTACGAAGCAGTGCAAAAGTAAATTCAAAACTCATTATCGCCATGCTGACTATGGTAAGCTTAGGCCGCTTTTGCGCTGACGGCCTCAAATAGTGTAGGACACATCTGCGGCTGCTGATCAGTTAAATCCTGTAACATGGAAACCCGTCGAATTCACTAGTTTGCGTACTAACTAATAGATACAGACACGACATCCTGTAGAATTCAGAGGGAATGGAGGGCATCAACGTTTTTTTTAAAAAAAATTATTGCCCTTGTAGGCAGACGAGCATACGGCCCACCTGATGGTGAGTGGTTACCGTCGCCCATGGACTTCAGCAATGCCAGGGGCAGAGCCAAGCCGCTGCCTACCGAACCTACGTTGTCTATAGACTCCGGTAGCCACGTAAGAGCAGACGGGACGACCATTTTTGTTTTATGTACAGTAAAATAAATTTTTATTTGAAATGTAGGGTAGTTACTACTGTATTAGATTTACCGAATCAATTGCGATAAAAACAAAAAGATTGGAGATTATCTTTTTACGTATTACGATTGATTCATTTGACTTTATTTCACTAAAAGGCTTATTAGGAGGAGAGAATTTATTATTATTTTTATAGAGTTTTATCGACCCTTAATTAGAAGAAAGGAGAAAAAAAATGCTTAATTCACACAATAGCCAGCTAGATATTTTATCTTCCAGTAATATTACCGGAAGACGTAGTGTAGGTAGGCCTCCCAGAAGATGGACCTATGACCTATTGACGGTGGCGCATTTACGTTGTAGATGTCTATGGGCTCCAGTAACCACTTAACACCACGTGGACTGTGAGCTCGTCCGATCTAAGCAATAAAAAAATGATTAGAAAAAATATTCTAGCAGCGTTATTTATCTGTAATAAAGGCAGAACAACGGGTTCGGTATACGGCAGACGACACCGGCTATCACGGCGCCGCGGCGTTGAACGCGAGCGACGACCACCACTCGCACACAGCCAACTTCGCCTTAGGGCAGACCGCTATAGATCTCAATAAACTGGTAAGTGAAACATGATAACATCGATCGATCGTTTTGGCGAGGCTTAGGGGAGGCTTATGTTCAGCTGTGGACATCTGTGGGCTGATAGAATAGAATAGAGTGAAACATTTCCTCCTGAATTTTATGATTTCAACGCAGAACTCAGTTTTTAGCAGATATTTGGTTGTACTTCTAACCGAAGTTCGCAATGCCTTTGAATGCATTCAAAATTACCTTTCATTCTCAACTTTCTCCAATAGTACCTCAACAAACCGATCAAAATTTACGTTTTTTAATGCCTTTTCGTAAATCTGCACATATCAATTATGTACGCATTGGCTAAAAGTATATGGCTATATTAAGTTTTACGTATTTGAATTACAGATCATTTTTCAATGAAACAGCTCAATATGATATATGATTTTGAGGTCATCACCAACTTGTCAATTCGTTAATTAATAGTTTAATGTAGGTAAGAACTTAGCAATGCGTTGCGAGTGGCACTACGAAGTGTCTTTTTCTTGTCTTGGGCCGGTTTTCTTAGCTCAACATTTTCACAGCTTTCCTCGGTGAGACTTTTCACTGCTACCACACGATCGTGATGTGTCATATGTTCTTCATTAACAACACTCTTGATTCTCACACCCAGACAACGAAAGATTTACCGAAATATTTATAGTTAGGTATCTATTACCTCACCTCATCTATTATATCACTCGTAATGAGGACTCCATTGAGCGGTTGGTGGTGTAAGGGAAAGTCGAGGGCAAAAGATCTCGCGGACGATCTCCAACACGATGGACCGACCTCATAAAATCTGTTACTCACTCCAACATAAATATTTGCTCTTACTCTGCGAAACATCGTGCCACATGGCGTCGCATCGCGAGAGCATCGGTATCGCAGGATCCGACTGATGCATGACCACGACCACTCTGTCAAGAGTGTACGAATAGGAAATCTATTAAAAACGTATATAAGTATGCATATCAGTCTCTAGTATCAATAACACAGGGAATCCTAGTTTGGGTCCGGATGACCGTGCATGATTTGTTTCCAGTTATTTATTTAAATACTAGCGACCCGCCCTCGCTTCGCTTCGGAAACATCATTATTGATAGGCGAAGCCCGCCATGTTGCGCGCGGTACGACAATAACTGCGGGTGACGCCGCGGAGCAAAACTAGTCTAAAAAAGGAGCCTAAGTTGCTCCTTACTTCATCAGCTACCTCTTTGTGAAAGTCTCATCAAAATCGGTCCAGCCGTTCCAGAGATTAGCCGGAAACAGACAGACAGACAGACAAAAATTGTAAAAAATGTTATTTTGGTGTATGTACCGTATATATATATTCTTAAGCATGTAGTATAAAGCGATTATTTCAATACTACAAACAGACACTCTAATTTTATTTATATGTATAGATGTATATATAACTTGACTGTAATACAATAACTAGAAAGTGATGTAACTCTTAAATGTTACTATTAATAGTAATTGTAAGAGTTTAAATTGTAGATTTTACTGTTACAGGATTATGGAGGGCTAACCACCACGATACAGCCAGCTAATCTAGTCTCATCTAATACTCAGCCAATCGATATATTTCTCATCCAACAACAGTTCACATCTCCTTCCGCTCAAGAAAATAATTTACAGATATCGTCACCGTCCAATATTCAATACTCCGCTCCGTATATAACGCCATTTTACCAAATACAAACACAGCGTCCAAATGGCAATCAAAAGAACGCATCCGAAAATCCCAATGAAGAAGACTTAAATCAGGAAAAAACTGATGAAACTATTGTTACTCCTTTACCAATTCTACAAGTGTTCAAAAACCATAAATGCAGTACCGAAAACCCTAGTACTGACGTGCCTTCAGAGACAATAGATGATAATATAAACAGTTCCAAAGATTTAATCGCGGATATTACATCCTATGAAATTCACAAGATCAACAACTTTGGTCTGAGGGACGAAGCTAAAAGACCACTTACGTACAGAGGGGCTGTGCATTTCAAAGTTGAAACACCCAGACCTAACGCTAGAAACGAAAGGTTTTATTATACAACTGATTATGCGCCGATTATATCTGAATCAAATAAGGTTAATATTACACAAGAAGGGATCAAAAAATTAGTGGCTTCCACACAGGACCTAATTAGCAACGACGATCTTTTAAAAATCAATCACGCCGCAGAGAAACACGTAAATGATCTTTCCGAAGACATCATCAAACCTAAACCTAGATTTCATGCACAGACTAAATCTAGAAATCTTAAAATTGAAAATAGACCACCCGAAATCACTGTGAGAGCTAAAATAGATAACATACTACGCGATATCGAAAACACGAGTGATAAATCTAAATCGAATATCATAGAAACAAATTCTAATGATTATAAATTTGCCTCTCCTATCGTTGTTCCTGACAATACATACGCTGATTTCAAAGAGCAAATCGTGAATAATCTTGTTTCTACAATGGTACCGTACATCGCAGATGGCTATCAGATCGTTGGCGTAAAAAACGCATACAACAATACCAGTGACATTGATATTAGTCATGACACTGACGAGAATGTAGTAGATGTAACTCCAAGACCGATTGGCCAGAACTATCTAGCACCAATCACCGTAGCTTTGAGACTGCTCAATGCAAATGAATCGGCAACACTTAACGCGGTGGATGATCACGAAGCTTCTGACAGCGAACAAATCAGTGAGACGGTCCAAAGTCCGAAACGTGAAAGAACCATTGTCGAAGTCCAAGAATCGTTACCGGTTGAAATAACACACATAAATGACGTTGAGGTGCACGAATATTTGGAGGAAGGTAAAAGCAACGATAAAGAACATTTAGAATTAGCTAAATCGCTCTACAACACGTATATTGACGCCTTACGATCGTCGAAGAAAATCCAAGATAATTCCAATAAGATGCTATATAAATATGGTACTATGAATAGTTATGAAAGTTCAGACAGTACAGAGAAGCAGGATTACGATTCCAAAGAGAATCTGGAACAAAGTGAAAATATGCAATCCGAGGTGCAAGTCAGACCGGACGAGGATAATGATAGAAGCGAGTCGATCGATTACTACAATAATTACGAGAAACAAAAAATAATACAACCAATTATTGTTGAAAAAGAGGTACCTGTAACTAAATTCGTTGATAGGTATATTGAAAAACGAGTTCCATACCCGGAGGCCGTGCCGGTACCGGTTGATAGGCCAGTCCCAGTGGCGGTACCCTATGAAAAAATCGTAGAAAAACCTTTCGAGGTCACGAGGTACGTCGACAAACCGTACCCGGTTGAGGTACCGAGGCCTTACCCGGTCCAAGTCAAAGTACCGTATCCGGTCGAACAAAAGGTCTACGTCGACAGACCTGTACACGTGCCTTATTCGGTGGAAAAGGTAATTGAGAAACAAATCCTCCACCCGGTTCCCATACCGACTCCTGTAGGAATACCTTACGCAATTCAAATACCCGTAGAACACAAAATATTATACCCGATAACCGTCGAGAAACCAGTTCCAATACCTGTGGAAGTCGAAAAACCGGTACCGGTTGAGAAGGTTGTACACAAAGAGATACCAGTTCCGTACCCGGTTGAAAAACACGTACCTTATCCGGTTCCGTATGAAACAAAAGTAGCTATACCTGTACCTATAGAGCATAGGGTGCCTGTAGAAAAAATTGTAGAAAAGCCTGTTACTGTAACTAAATACGTAGAGAAACCTGTACATATCGAAGTACCACGGCCGGTAGCTATACCGATTCATATTCCACAACCATACCCGGTTGATAGAATTGTTGAAAAGAAAGTACCATACCCAGTTCCGGTGGACAGAATCGTGGAAAAGAAAATCCCAGTCAAAGTTCCGTATGCGGTCGAAAAGTATATCGAGAAAATTGTCGAAAAACCGGTCGTGTTAACGAAGTACGTTGACAAACCTTATCCCGTGGAAAAGCGGGTCCCTTACCCTGTTGAGAAGATAGTAGAGAAACGGGTACCCTATGCTGTGCAAGTACCGTACGAGGTCAGAGTACCGTACCCGGTCGATAAACCTGTTCATATACCCGCGTACCGCTACTACTCGGATGAGGAAGCGAGACACATTATCCGCTACCAGAAGCCGGATCAACGTAATACACAAACGCAGTTATCACAAGCCCAAGCGTACGCGCGTTATTTACAAAGTTTGAGTGATAAATACAGAAATAACCGAAACGTGCAATCAACTCTCTGGGGTAATCAATACGCATCTTCTTACCAATATTTTAATAAAACCGACAAACAGATCGGTTTGAAAAATGCGCAAAACATAGCTAACTACATCAACTATTTACAACACACACAGAATAAATCGTTGAATCATAATGGTTTGAATAGAAACCGGAGTGATTTTGTCGAATATCAACTCCGCGGGGCGGTGTTGCGCGCTCCTAAAACTTTGAAGATCGAATATGGAGGTTTCAAGCCTCCATTGGTTCCGAGTACTGAGGTAGACTTAGACGGGATACCAGTAAATAAACGGGACGACTAATCATGCCACGAGTGCTCTGAGGAATTGTTTGAGATGATACCATCATCTCGTTTTTACTATCGCACCGCTCGCCACCGGAGTAGATTTCATCCATACTACCTGGAGCCACTACAATCATCCACAGTGCGCTTCCAGAGATCTTTTTTGCCACGTACCATCCGGCTTTGGAATGAGCTCCTCTCCACGGTGTATCCCGAGCGCTATGACATATCCTTCTTCAAACGAGGCTTGTGGAGAGTACTTAACGGTAGGCAGCGGCTTGGCTCTGCCCCTGGCATTGCTGAAGTCCATAGGCGGTAACCACTCACCATCAGGTGGGCCGTAAGCTCGTCTGCCTACACGGGCAATAAAAAAAAGAATATGAATAAGTTTTGTTCAAATTCTAAACCTATAAAAGATCTAGTAGATCTCGGGGTCTAGTTTGAAATGAAAGCTGTTGTGCAGTTGGAGTTTCGACCCATGTCTCAAAGCAGATGGCGGTATTCACGTTGGGGTCCAGCCCATAATAGCTCAATACCAGATTAGCAGAAAGCGTCTATAACAATAGTTTGTGACTTAAGACATTGTTACAAAAAATATACTGTTTTTCACTCAGCACGCATTGTACGATGTTTGAAATCAGCTGATGTGCGGTATTAATGTCGCTCTGGGAGCTATACATTGCGCATTCACCAAACATATATTCCGGCCATGTTCCACAAGCATCACGCAATGTCTATGACATGTCTAATAAATAATGTCAATGTTTTGTGTTAGTTATTGGTAATTATTTATACAAAGTTATTTAATACGTATCACATTTTATTGTTGTTTTCAAATATCTCAGGCTCTCTGGTCGACCTGTGAGGGTAAATCACTGTTGTACGATTTAAACATATTTAGAAATAGAATACATTGAAATACTTAAAAGATATTGTTTTTTCAGTTTTTATTGTCTACTCTATATAATGCATAAAAAAATGAGCAACATCTTTTCCCTAGTATTTAGAATATTTAAAAATATAAAATTTTGAGTCTCAATTCAGGATTGTTCAATTTACTTAGTTAAATTGTACAATTTAGCTAAACTCAAGATTTTTAAAATTAAAATTTTATATGGATAAATGTGAATTTAAACTTCTAAGTTGGAAACTTTGGCATCCACGACGATCATTAAAATTGTTTTTCATTTAGGTACACAATCTTCTCAAGGCCATTTTAGTAATAAAATGTGAATATATCACTAGCTTTAAAATAACATATAAATGATGTGCAACTGGTACTGTTTTAAAACTTTATTCAAGCCATATTTCTAGTTAAAAATAATTTATTTTTTTCATAGATCTATAAGTTAGAGTTTAAGTACCTAATCATATAAGTATGTTGGTTCTTAGTTTTAATACTTTTTTTTAAGATTTATTTTCAGTATTCTTACAGTTAAGTTTATAGTTTTAGAAAATACATATAAACAAATATATTTTTATTTTTATTAAGTTTGTTGTTTGATTTGTGTCTATTGTAATTTTTATAGCTTCCCAAACATGCCTTATTGCGACTTTTTTTATATATTCAAAAATACAGTTCGGCGGTAAGTAGTCACTGTCGCTCAGGGACATCAGCATCGCCATGGGCACAGCCAAATCGCTGATATCATATTTATCGAGTTCCTGATGGTTTGTAGCTGTTGAAAGCGCCGTGAGCGTTGGTGGAATGCACGTGGGATGTCAGCGCCCCGCAGTTCTGTCCGTTTCTTAGTCAGTTCTAGGGCGTCTTCACTGACATTCCATCCAGTGTGCTTAGTGCGAGTTTCTTAACGTTCTCGATAGCGTAAAAGTTAACCCAATTTTGTATGGCAGTTGGAACAGCGCCCCTAGCGGCAAACGTACCCAAACGATCTCATTACATAAAAATATGAGCAATGGCGGATCCAGGGGGGGGGGGGGGGTCATGGGGGTCATGACCACCTCCTGAGCTGGTTCCAGGACTTAGGTGGACCACTAATTGAATATAATGATTTTATTTACATATTTGATCACCATACAGATTTTATGTAACTACATACCTTCAATATTTAATTAATTTAATATAATATAATAACTTTGTATAATGGCAAACGTTTGGGAACGAACGCATCTAAATTTGACTATGTGACCCCCTCCTGGCGCCAAAGCTGGATCCGCCCTTGAATATGAGCTAACTTTTACGCTATCGAGAATGTTAAAAAACTCGCACTAAGCACACAGGTCCGCACACGATATCTAATCTCAAGAGACTGCACTTCTCGAAGATACAAGACCCTTTTTTTATTTGCTTATATGGGAGGACGAGCTCACAGCCCACCTGGTGTTGTGGTTATTGGAGCCCATATACATCTACAACGTAAATGCGCCACCCACCTTGAGATATAAGTTCTAAGGTCTCAAGTATAGTTACAACGGCTACCCCACCCTTCAAATCGAAACGCATTACTGCTTCACAGCAGAAATAGGCAGGACGGTGGAACCTACCCGTGCGTACCTAACCTACCCGTGCGTACCTAACCTACCCGTACCACCACCCCTCTCCAAGTGTTTTCAAGGAAACACTTCGAGAACGCTTTCTTCTTTACCAAACCGTCCTAAGCCACATTCCACATCCAATTCTCAAAAAGTCAACACAAGGACAATAATAACGAACAAACAAGGGCAACTTCTTTTTATTAATTCATAATAATTGATTACAAATAAGTAGTACACGTTTTTTTGATCTTAATTAAAAACTCGAACGCATTCATAACATCACCGAACATTATTACATCGATAACTACATAGGAGAATGAAACAAAAAAAAAAAGAAAGATTTAAAAATATAAGTTTTTTTGTGATTTCACAGAAGAAAAAAAACGAGTATGCTATACTTATTTTTATTTAACAAAAAAAAACGCGGCCGCCCGCCGATTTCACGTTTACAATCTACTTACATAGTATTTTTTTTTCTATATAAATATAAATCCATTTACTTATTATTTTTTTGATCACACAAAGAAAAAGCACACACACGCACACAATAACACTAAAAACAAATCGCGTAATTTTTAAATTACAAAAAAAAATATTGTGAGCTGTGAAATACGAGATTTATTATTATCAATTATCTTATACAAACACTATTTTTATTTATTTATTAACATTAAGAGCACTGAGATATTAGTGCGAACTGGATCAATACAAAAAGCTAATAGGTAGATTAGATTACGTAATGTTTGAAAAGTATTGACACATGTCACTATGACATCTGTCAAGAGTATAAATGTCAAAAATCGGCACCGGCACTCTGCGGACTTGAAAGCAACGGCCAAACATTTTCACTGGCAATATGACTACTACCTAAGCCGTGCTCTTCATAATTAATATAATCAGCTCAAGGAAATGAATTTTAGAAAATAATTCATTTATTTATTTATGTAACACAGTGGCTACTCAAATTGGAAGTTACAAAGTACATTGCTCATTGAAAGACTCACTACCTATACAGGTATCCTAATACATTATATTTTTTATATTATTATAAATACTTTGATCACAATTACACATCTATTTATTTAACATCAGAGAATAGAACTAGTCGTAAAACATTCCTACGTCTGTATTAACCCGAATCGTAGGGTGTTAATTTAATGACAGTATTGTTGTTATGAACAACAAAAACCAAAAAAAAAAACAAAATACATATGCAAAAAGCACAACAACAAAACGAATTTAAAACGGAAATTATTAAACATATTATTAAACAAATTATTAAACATATATTATATTGCTCGAAGTCTCGCATACTATACATTAAAATCAACACCCTGTAGACATTAAGAAACGACACATTTGACACTTTCTAATTCAGCCTTATAATTAGAAAGAGACAAGAGACGCGGGCGGCCGCGTCACTCACCGCCAGCTCTGACTGACGCGTTCTAAGTTGACAGCTTGACGTAAACACTGGCTGGATGACATTGACAGCTAGGCGCTTGTCAATCTCCTCGATCCAACCCCGCTCAGACCTGACGGCTCGTTTTGACATACGACACTGACATTAAAGTTAACAAGGAATCGAAAAATTCAAGTTAATCTTATTTATTGAAACAATTTTCGTTCTAAGGGGACTTAATTATTTTTGTAAAACTGTAAAATTATATTTTGTCATTATACATAGATAGATACATTAGATGAGGAAATGATACATACAGTAATTAATTAATTAATTAATTAACATTAAGCTATGTTGTATCGGTTGAGCTCGATTTGTACAAAACGTCAGTGGCACGTTGGGCAGAAGTACCTAAGCGGACTATAGGTCCGTCAAATCAAAATGTCTTTTGTGAACACAAGCTTCGGGCGAGTTGCGACGTTGTCTTCCTGAACAATATTCTCCTCGTTATTATCTTTATGTATACATTCTCAGAGCGCACTGACATGTTAAACAAAAAAAAAAAAAAAAANATAAAAAAAAAAAAAAAAAAAAAAAAAACTTATCTACAGAAAGTAATGACACGTAAAATTATTATACAAGTGTGTGCCTTTTAAGCATCGAGAGCGGTTCATTAACTAAAATCCCGGGCCTCTATTCTGAGATAAACGACGGCAGTTACTAAAGTCGATACTTTTTATTTTCGCCGACGTCACTCAGAGGGGTGACATTACTTATTCGTTGATCTCGTCCGAAGTCGACCCTTTCAGAATAGAGCCCGATGTATCCTTTCGAGTTACAAACGTTTGGCGTTCGCAGTGTTTATAATAGATCATGTCATTTTTATCGATACGCTTCCCATCACTTGGCACATTAACATTCCTCGTACTGTCCCGGCACTGGTCCCGGCGCGTAACAAGTTCCGTTTCTCCGTTACTTTCAATAATCTGACAATAATCTTTATTACAAAGAAATATACACGGAGTAAATTCGACATTGAGAACATCAATCGACACTGAGGTGATGATAGGTGCATCCAAAAATGAACATCGAGTCGATTTTTTTAAAAGTAAAAACGGATTCGACTTATCGCTTCGCATAGTTTCACGTAGCTCAGTGATAGATCGTATATCTGACTACGTGACCTGACCGGGGGGTGGGAGGGTACGTCGACCGCGCCGGACGCGAAGCCTGAAGTTATTTAATCAATCGACATTCGAATTTAAAAATCGAACAGCTCAGGAGGGGGGATCGGCTCGAGGGGCAGACAGTCGCACGGTGACGGGGGTGTAGGGGGCGAGAGGGCGCGGGGCTGTCGGCGCAGCGTGTGCGTGCTGGAGTAGGCCACGCGGTAGGGGGAGGGCACGTCGGCGCTGTCGGCGCGCAGGGACAGGGCCGAGCGGGGGTGGAGGCGGGGCGGGGAGCCCGGCGGCCGCAGGTAGTCGCTGCGGGCCAGAGACAGCTCGGCCGGACTGTACGCGGCCAGGAAGTGAGCCAGCGCGCCGGAGGACGTCCGCTGGCCCCCGTTGGCGATCAGCACCATNAGCTTGAGTTCGTTCGCTATCTTTGACGCAATGTTCTTGAAGCCGATGCTTGTTCCTGGAAGGTGTATTGAACAAAAACTAATTATTATACTCCACCGCGCAATGTTAATGACGTAACCAAGTATCCGCCATTGCTGATAGTTGTATAGTATGCGCGCGAGTTCATGTCCATCGGGGTCAAAGGCGACGCACGGGGGACGGCTGGTCCCACCCCCGCCCCGCATTTGTCGAGTGTTGTCCTCCACGGTTGTGACGCGCGCTTATCGATATGGAACATTAACGATAACGCTATTGTGTTATTTCATTGTAAATAAACCACGACTACTCCAACAACTTTAGGAAGAAAAAACCTACGGAAAAGATATACTGATTCCGACTCTGATCTTTCGGTTGTCTTTTCATCTGATAAGTGATTGTATTTGTAATAAAAAATATACTTTTCTCTTATTATCGACATTACGATAATTAACTAGGTCACAGCACTACCGCATTCCTTAGGACGGACATGAACTCGCGCGCCTACTGTATATATAGTGATTTTTATTTTATTCTAATAAAGGGCGAACGTCGTGTGACGTCACACTGACCGGATATCCTCTTGAAGCGCACCCCGTTGAGCGAGAGGCGCGGCAGCTTGCAGACCTCGATCTCCCACTGCACCAGCGAGTCCGCGTTGGGGTCGCCGTGGACGCACAGCAATAAGAACCTCTCGCGCTGCTCGTAATCGCAGTTGTTCGCATCGAGTACCTGGAAACGTAAAAACAGAATCGTGATGGCGGAACTAATCTAGATCGACGAAAAAACAAAAAATAGCTACTTAAATAAATCACTAAGTCATCGGATGGTAAACAGTTGATGTCTGTAGTGGTTACTGGAGCCCATAGACGTCTACAACGTAAATGCGGCACCCACCTTGAGATATAAGTTCTAAGGTCTCAAGTATGTCGCCCTAAGCACGTCATTTCGGATCGTCTCGATCCACTAAAGGTGGTTTTAGGTACCTCAAGCATCGATCATCGTTCTCATCGAACCCGTCGCTTGCGACGAAGGGCTCATCGAGCAAATAGACTCTCAGACAAAGCCCATTGAGTTTCTCGTCGGATCTTCTCAGTGGATCGCGTTTCCGATCCGGTGGTAGATTCTGCGAAGCACAGCTCTTGCTAGGGCCAGTGTTAGCAACCTCGTCAGGTTAGAGCCCCGTGAGCTCACCTACTAATTCTGTGAATCTAATATAACCCCTCGTAGTTACTAGATTAAGTAGGGAAAAAAAAACGGGGCCCAAAGGTAAAGACGCCAGGTGCATTCGCATCGAGCGATATTCGAACCCTGCTAGCAAGTACCAGTTGTTTTTTTTATTGCATAAATGGGTGGACGAGCTCACAGCCTACCTGGTGTTAAGTGGTTACTGTAGCCCATAGACATCTACGACATAAATGCGCCACCCAGCTTGAGATATAAGTTCTAAGTTCTCAGTATAGTTACAACGACTGCCCCGTCTTTCAAACCGAAACGCACGTCAGAAATAGGCAGAGTGGTGGTACCTATTCATGCGGACTCACAAGAGGTCCTACCACCAGTAATTACGCAAATTATAATTTTACGGGTTTGATTGATCTAATGATTACATTATTGATATTCCAGACTCTGTGTAGCTGTTATGTCAGACTTCAATTACAGCTTCGGATATACCTCCTGACTGAGGCTTTGCTCGCCCACCTGTCCTGGTGAAACTGGAAAGACCTCAGGGCCATCAGTAAGCTCTCAATAAAAAAAAAGCTTCGATCAGCGCGCGGTTGTCGTATATACAGCGTGTTCCAAGCAAACACTCACCTTCCTGATCTCAGCCATGATCTCATTCGGGTCCCGCGACGAGGTCGTCTTCATGCTCCACGTGAAGCGAAGCACCCTGGGCTTCACTTGTTCCTCGTTTCCTTGTCTGTCACAACAGACCGGTTTGAGTGGAAGCATGATTATTAATCGACTGTATTGTGATGACGGGTTACCGTTTCGGCCGAAACGCGCGGTAGAGCGCGGCAGAATCTGCCGCGGTTGTGGAACCTTCTAGTAGGACGCTATAATACGTCCTATCACCATCAGTAGTCGTACAAATAGATAAACTTAGCATCGCTAGCTCTGATAGCCACTCAAAGTTTTAAATAGCATCGGAACAGACTTATTAACAGACATTGACGTCATAGAGACGATTTTGCTGACGTAACACAGATAAGTGATCAATATCCGTGATTACTTCAAGATTAGGAAGTAAGTTGTAAGACTGGTCAATTTTAGGTTATTCTATCTATGGAGGCCAGTAACCAGTTAACATCGGACTGTAGGCTTATCAGATCAGCTAGAGCTATAAATGGCAAGAACTTTCAAACTTAACATACAACTCAGGGGCGAGATAATAAACTTATTCAAAGCAAAAAAATGAATTATCACTAGTGTTAATATACAATAACAAAAAAAAGTGAAAAATCAGTCGTGTTAATCAATAGTGTGCTTTCTGGCTGTTCTTATGACGACCCTATCGATAATTATAATGTAAAACTATTATGAAACAGCCACGTGGGCTAGCACAAGCGATTTTTTTTTTTATTGCTTAGATGTGTGGAAAAGCTCACAGCCCACCTGGTGTTAAGTGGTTACTGGAGCCCATAGACATCTACAATGTAAATGCGCCACACACCTTGAGATATAAGTTCTAAGGTCTCAGTATAGTCACAACGGCTGCCCCACCCTTCAAACCGAAACGCATTACTGCTTCACGGCAGAAATAAGCGGGGCGGTGGTACCTACCCGTGCGAACTCACAAGAGGTCCTACCACCAGTAAAAAAATTTTTAATTATAAATAAATAAAACATTAAACAAAACAGACTTAAGTGTTTTATATGTAGTTGTTTCAAAGGGCACCGGAGAAACTTATCACAAGTCCCAAAATAAGCAATGACAAGAATCGTAATTCCTTTATTCCAAATTAGAAATATTTTTGCCTTTGAAACTCCCTAGAAATAGAGTCGGCTAGTGCTTTAAGTCAATCGTGTGATAGAGGTCAACGAACTCTCAAGATCCACTAGCTTTTACTCTACCCGCAATCCTGACGGTAGGTAGGTAACCCGAACAAAAGTATTTCTAATTAGGAATTATAAAAACAAACAGTGACAGAAAGATATTTCTAGAACAACAATAAAAAATAACAACAGAGAAGTATTATGAAGAAAACAAAAAAACAAAAAAACACGTCGTTCTAATAATTACCCAAGCATGGCTTGTGGACTAGCTCCAACCGCATGCTTCGGGGTGGTACCATCCAATGGCCTAAAAACAGAAAAACATAAAAAAAACGAACGCTAAAAGATGTGGCGGTGTCAAGGGGACGCTGATGCTGTCATGTGGAAAAGAAACGAAAATTACGTGTATTTTCGTGTGATTTGCTGACAAAAACAAAACAAAAAAAACAATTTTAATCGACGCTTTCATTCACACTTTACTGGTGGTAGGACCACTTGTGAGTCCGCGCGGGTAGGTACCACCATCCTACCTATTTCTGCCGTAAATCTGTAATGTGTTTCGGTTTGAAGGGCGGGGCAGCCGTTGTAATTATATTGAGACCTTAGAACTTAATCTCAAGGTGGGTGGCGCATTTACGTTGTAGATGTCGATGGACTCCAGTAACCAAATATACCACAATAAAAAAAAAACTTCAGAGGTGTCAAGGGACACCCGGATGGAACGAAGTTCCTTTCGATTAATTAGTGAAGGAATTGTAAATATTTTTTTTAAGTTATAATAATAAATTACGGCATTATGAAGAAGAAAAAAAAAACTATGAACTAAATTACTATTGTTGAAACGCTATCTCGAGAAACTGTACTCATTACGCGGACCAATTGGATACGAGCAATATCACGCGATAAGCGCCTACACGTTGATTGGTCAGAATGACGGATCTAAAAAGTGTCGTGACAACTTTTCGTAAGAATTTTTTCCGTCTAGCCCCCTTTCACAACGCGCGATAAGGAACTTCGTTCCAACATTTCACAATTGAAAAAAAGAGGGTAAAACGTACTCCGGCCCCCCACTTATATACGTTTACATTACTTATATACTACGTTTAAATACATACACAAATAGACAATAAACACCCAAGCAAACAGCAAACAAACTTCTGTCCATCACGCGGACGTTAGCCTGATGTGGAAATCGAACCCACGACCTATGACGCAACAGTCGGTGCCGCTAACTACTCCACCACCGAGTCAATCAAAACATTAGATGAAGAGAAATACATCCCAAGCCAGATTATACGAAATGACTTTAATAAAGAAAAACAGATTGCGATCGAGAATCGAACCCCCACCTCGAGGGAAAAAGGGATAAAGCTCTAACCGCTACACCAACAACGCAATTAATATGTACCTAGGTTTTTTTTTATTGCTTAGATGGGTGGACGAGCTCTCAGCCCACCTGTTGTTAAGTGGTTACTGGAGCACATAGACATCTACAACGTAAATGCGCCACCCACCTTGAGATATAAGTTCTAAGATCTCAGTATAGTTACAACGGCTGCCCCACCCTTCGAACCGACCGTGACAGGAGCGAAATGAAAATTACTGATTCAAATAAATGTTATTTAATTTATTAATTTTATTTTATTATTATTAATTTTATCCCGTCTCAAACTTGCCGCTATATTTTTTTTTTTACGTACCCACCATTTGTATATAAAAATAAGATTTACATTTCACTTCCATCAAAAATTAACAATAAAACTATAGAAATCACCGAATAATATAAACCAATTTGAAATTATGTATATTAAAATAATTTACATGTAATGTGAATGACAGACGTCGTTACTTATTATTGTAGTAATTTAAAATAGTTTGTCAGCTCAGCACAGAATCACAGAAAAAAAAACATCAGTAACTTTGTGTTAAATCTAAAAAAAAAAAAGCTCAAGCAAGCCGCGGCACACAAACAACTAAAGCTTTTTGAAAAGTTTCCATCAAATTATTTATGACTTACCTTAATTTTCATTCAACCTGCTTTATTTCATAATCTATATGGTATATAAATAGCAGATTAAGAAAATCAAAATTAATAAAAATAAGGAGTTATTTTTTTATGTTAATCACAACCCAATGATTACCTAATCCATCCACAATTTCAATAAAAAAATTCGTTTCACAAAATGAAGACGTTCAAATATTGAATTTTTTAGTAAAACACAATCGAACGACAATAATTATTATTCTGTCTATAAAATAAAAATAATCGTATTAAAAAAAAAATGTCAGTATTAAATTCGGTTTTTGAGAGTCAAAGACGTGATTAAAACTTATTTTACGGTTTAAAAACACGTGATTAAAACTTATTTTACGGTTTAAAAACACGTGATTAAACCGTAAAAGTAATTTTAATCAATATTAATTATTAGTATAACAGAAACGCAAAGTTAATCATTTAAACATGCTTTTTTTCATCACTCTTTTTTTCTGACAATCATAATATTAACATGCTGTTTTATCGATTCATGCCTCACTTAAAATTGGGTAGGTACTCATAAAAGTTCGGTTGGGATACACGGTCAAACACACACGCACACAATTATAAAGAAAAAAAAAACCTTTTTATTTAAAAACAACACACGTGAAACGATGCGCTGCGATTGTAGAAAAGATTACAAATATATGCAATTAAAAATAAATAGCTTCTAAATATTTTTCAAGACACTGACTATTCTGAATTATTTTTAATCTCTAATAAAGCGAATTTACCCCAATTCAACATTCTAGTTAGCTTTAATTTTTTTTTCTTTTTAATCTACGAATCACATCGACATCGTCTCCCAAGTCACCATTGAGAATTTAAATTAAAAAAGGTTATAAAGTATGTATATATGTGCGTTTTTCATCACCTCCGCTGAATGTCCAGAGAGGAAAAAATACGAGGTTTCTGACGGCCGGTTGACTCTCCCAGCACCGACAAACTGACAGAGAATACTCACCAAGTTAACAAGACATATTTACATATTTTTTTATCGCTTAGGTGGGTGGACGAGCTCACAGCCCACCTGATGTTAAGTGGTTACTGGAGCCCATACACATCTACAACGTAAATGCGCCACCCACCATGAGATATAAGTTCTAAGGTCTCACTCAGTATAGTTACAACGGGTGCCCCGTCCTTCAAACCGAAACGCATTACTGCTTCACGGCAGAAATAGGCAGGGTGGTGGTACCTACCTGCGGGGACTCACAAGAGGTCCTACCACCAGTAAAATTGTACAGATATACCCATACCATACCATATTTGTATAGATTTTGCACTTCACCTAATTAACTCGTTATGCATATTATTTTTTATTGCCCTTGTAGGCAGACGAGCATTCGGCCATCACCTGATGGTGAGTGGTTACCGTCGCCCATGGACTTCAGCAATGCCAGGGGCAGAGTCAAGCCGCTGCCTACCGCAGCTACTAAAAACAATATTTAATAACTCGATTTTAAATAATAATACGCTTAAAATACGTTTCCGCTGTGTTTTAACGCGAATTGTTTTTTTATTACTAGCGACCCGCCCTCGCTTCGCTTCGGAAACATTAAAACACACATGAAACCAAAAAAATAAAATAATTTTTTTTTAAAAAAAGTAGCATATGTTCATCAGGGAAAATGTCGGCTTCTAATGGAAAAAGAATTTTTCAAATCGGTCCAGTAGTTTCGGAGCCTATTCGAAACAAACAAACAAACAAATCTTTCCTCTTTATAATATTAGTATAGAAAACCAATGGCTCCCAAACTGTGGTTATACAGAGGGTAGGTAGCAAAAGTTTGACATAAAGGAGGAACACTGAGACGCCGGTCAGTCCTAAGATAAAACACTAAGAAAACCGTAGCAAAATATAAATACGTTCTATTAACGTTTTCTCTTTGCACGCAATGTAATACGAATTGAAATCAACTAACGCTCGAGGTCAACGGCCTCCAGGAAGCCGTTCTCTATACATTGCGGTTTCAATGAAAAATGTCCTGTCTGTTTACGTTAGGGTTGTCGTTCATTAGCATTTCGGTACCGATCCTCAAAGCACTTTGTAGACTAAAAAACAACTGATCTATTTTTTTAAGCACAATTCACTTGAAAGTTCTTTGTGATCCTGCGAATAGAACTTCATATATTACTTTCAGGCATTCAAAGGTTAACTTATGATTTAACAACGTGACTGAACCATTAATTTTAAAACACGACTTTAACAATATTTTGGGTACTAGAATTATTATTTTTTCCTTTATATTTTGAGGGGAGCTTGGTAATTTTAGCATCGGTTGGTATAGGACTTTTTGGCGGGAACGCGAGGAGTGAAGTTGTGTGATTTGTTTTATTTTGTCAATTTAGTGTTTCTTCTATTTAGTGTGGGAAAATGAAACAAAGCCGCTGGACGTAACTTCTCGGGATCCTCGAAAAAGTCCACTGAGATCTTAGTAAATGACCACCATTTTACTGAGATTCTATTTCATCCCATATCATCTCATTTCATTTCATCCCAGTTGATTAATGTCTCAAATTAATCATCTTCATTTCATTTCACTCCATAATATCATTTTTCATAAAAAATGAATATGAATTAAAATAAGACATGACTTAAAGGTCTCAGTTACCAGGTCACAAAATCCCTTAAAAAAATATCGGTTGGTATATACACTTTTCAATATATGTATATAGCGGTATTGTTTGACAATCCATTACTTGAGCCACAGAGCGTGACAGCTTCTAAGCTGAACAACAAATTATGTAATTAAAATTACCAAAAATATTAACATGCGGGATGTAACGTACTCACTACAATGATATAAAGTTCATTTTCGATTGATAATCAAACTTTTTTAATTTTTTTTCTTTATTATTAATTTATACACTTAAACGGAGGGAGCTATTTAACCCTGGAAAGGACAAGAAATATTTATGTATTATATATACATAAAAATCAAAAACATATCTTGTTATTGAAAAAAAAAAACTGATTATTATTATTATTATTAAGAGAAGCGCAACACATTCGTTCCAAAAAAAAATACATTTTACACAGACTGTAAATGTTTATCTAATTAAATTTAAAAAAAAAATATGTATATTTATTTATATAGAACCTTTTATTTATTACAAGTAGAAAAATACGAAAAAAAAAAAACAATACATCGCCTATAAATTATAAAATATTAATAATACAGTTTTCAAAATCCTATCCGTAGAATGTATTGCATTTTTCCTAAAGCAAATAGCGTAACACGTACATACATTAAATGTAATGAAAAAAAAATGCGCATAGGGAATTGAAAAAAAAAAAAATACAAAAAAAAGTCTTTGCACTTCCTGTGCCATAGATAACCATTATTGTATCGGTTATTCAGTTAATATATATTATGTACCTAGTATATTAATATTATACTCGTAATAAAGTATATATTCATTGGAAATCCTTAATGAGGCGATATTGCTTTGACTGCTCAAACAATTGAATCAGATATGACGAAATTATACCGCGAACGAAAAAAAAAAAAGAAACAATAAAAAAAAAATCTCTCCTATTGTATTTTTTTTTAAATGCATGTCAAAAAAATATCCTTTCCTAAAATATCCTGACACACTCATAACAAACAGCACCTAAACACACAATAATTACATACATTTTCTTGAAATAACACGCGCACAGTATAATTAAATACCGTAGTGTATTTTTTTTCCCTTTTTTTTTTGGAAAATCCTTCGCGCTAATCCAAAGTCCTTATCGTAAATACATACACAATTGTTACATACGTAAATTACATTTGAATATGCAATTTTGAAAAGGGCACATGTCGCATATTTTGTCAAATACGTTTTTTTATATACGTCATGTAGTTTTGAGGCTTACCTACACACCCATTTTATAATAATTCCAGTAATTTTCAATTGCCAATTAACACTAAAATATATCTCAAAAGTTAATATTTTAAATTTTACACCGCTTTAGAAAATAATGAGTTTTTTTCATTTCCTGAACATTTTACATTTTCAGAGTTGTGCCCTTTTCGAAATTGCATATCATTATTATTCATTTATATACGTTGTCGTTAAATACACCAGTAAACGTTGAGCAAAGCATATAATATATAATACAAGACGATCTAGAAGTGTGCATACGTAGCTGAAATTTTTTATATAATAAAAAAAAAAACAATATAAAAAAAAACTTAAAAATTATATTCTAAATTATTATAAAATACTTTTTGTAACATCAGATCGTCTTTTAAATGAAATATAATAATAATAATAAGCGGATTTGTCAAAACAGAATCGGACAACACTGAAATTATCGAGACAGCTTCATTACGTGTGACGTCATTTGGGGCTAAGTCTAGCGGATTTGTCAAAACAGGCTCGGGCAACACTCAAATTATCGAGACGACTTCATTACGTGTGACGTCATTTGGGGCTAAGTCTACGACGAACTCAACATCCACATTAAGCTCTTGTTTTGAATGTTGTTTCAGTATGAACAACGTAATGGACGTAAAATACGATTTTTGACGTGGCAACAACCTCTTATAAATCAATGAAAACTGGCTGCACGCGCGAAAAGGTGTCATGTTCCGCCTGAGTGTGCGAGCGAGAGCGCGAAACAAGCGATAGAGAGACACGATCTGCCCAAGCGTTGGCTTGTGACACATTTATCTCTCTTCTCGCGTGACGTCAGCGCTAGCAGTTCCTTATCGCGTAAAATTATCGCCCGTAAATCGACTTTACAGATTATAATAAAAAATTTTATCAATGAGATTTAAGTTTAATCGCGAAGATATTAGAACACATTTACGCTGGTAGGAAATAAGTCGAACAGTGTTATACAACAAGAGACTTTATATACTTGATAATAGAGGAGTGGTCGTATTCTATACTTTTCTAAACATTAACACCAAGCATTGTTTTCTCTTGGGCTTCCGATCTCTAAACCAAAATATTTAGCGATAATATTTAGAGACACCTAATTCTAAATATAGAACGCCAATTCTGCAACGTACATTACGGTTATATTGTGTCCATAGGCCCCGTTAACCACTAGTGACGCGTCAATGGAATACAAAATTGAAACATTCAAAGTGAATCCAAAATTCTACTCGAAGAGGTCGTGGTGAAGCGAACCCATTCCTCCATTCGAAAAACAATGTCTTCACAAATCCGATAACATATTTACATAATAAAAATACACATAATAAGTCTCACACGCGTTAAGTTATTGGGAGCTTTATATACCTCGGATAAGAAAACCTTTCATTAAAGAATTCACGATTAAGACCGCGTGAATAGCAATGCGACTTTATTCTGATAACAGGTTTATAAAGCTTCCACAATTGATAACGCGGATAAGACGCGTTTATATATTATATAATATAAACAAGATTTAAACTCACATGTAACTATATAAATTTACAAAGGATAGATCCGAACTCGCTCACATTACATTACACACAATAAAGTTTGAATCATTAATCACATGACATACAAAATTATATGTATACAGGTAACCGTCCTATAACGCGGTAGATACGTCCCTACAAAGTCCCGTGTTGTATGAAATCGCGTTATATAAAACTAGAGAGAGACGAGTAATTTTTTTTACGAATGAAACATCTCAACTATGCTTGTATGTATTTTTTTATCATTATACATAAAAAAATAAGCAGTAAAATATAGGTTATTTCTATAAATTGTGTGTTCATAGTGCATAAAGTAATTTTTTGAAATTTTTTATATTGCTTAGTGGGTCGAGCTCACAGCCCACCTGGTATTAAGTGGTCACTGGAGCCCATAGACATGTACAACGTAAATGCGCCACCCACCTTGAGATATAAGTTCTAAGGTCTCAAGTATAGTTACAACGGCTGCCCCGCCCTTCAAACCGAAAGGCATTACTGCTTCACGGCAGAAATATGCGGGGCGGTGGTACCTACCCGT